ACAACAAAAATAATACAAAACAAAAACGAATTCCTCACTACATCACTCATTGGTATAAGCCGAGGGCAGAATACATCTTTCAACATGTTAAAAACTGTTGCTATTAGTGTCTTCATTTTAAAACGCTGAATTTGTAACCTGGAAAAAAGAGTGGGTTCTGTGCTACTTTTATCTTCAAATGATGGTGAACTACTTTTGACTTTTGGGTTTATAATTTCTAATCTTTTATTTAAAAAAAATTACCTTCTGCAGATGATGTAGAAAATAAAAGCTGAAGTGGTTTTGTTTTCTTCAGATAATATTTAATTTGCCTTTAATCCTAAAGGATAAAAAAGAGAGAGAATTTAAATTTGAGTCACATATCTTTCAAGAACAGTTCTGGGATTTGCTCTATTCTTGAAAGTGAAAGCCAAGTATATTAATTGAATGTTACCATACCTTGAAGCTAAGTACAATTTGAGCTTGAAAAATGGGACTCTTGCCTCTTTCCAGAATGATCAGCTTTAGAGTTCTGCTTTGTTGAATAACTAATCAAGCACTGTCCACACTAAAAAGCAGATGAAGGCTTAATCCAAAAGTATTGGATCTCATGAATTCATCCCCTCACTGGGATGAGTTGCCTTTTTTAAAAATATAATGTTATTTATTTTAAATAAATAATGTTATTTTTAAAAAAATAATGTTATTTATCTATGTCTTGTGCACCTATAACCACGCACATTTAATCAGGATAATTTTTGATGGTTGCTGACATGAATAAGTCTACCTGAATTTCTATGTGTATTACCTGTATATTCAGCTAAACCAAAAGGGAAACGGACCTAAGTATGGATCTAGGTCCACAGGAACAAATAAAACAATGACTAATCATTTATGTAACTTTCAGCATTGCTGAAAATGATTTAGTACATTGCCCTTCTTTGATCCAGACTTCTACACTGTAGTACACTAAGAATCTAGGCCAAAGCACTTATTTGTATTTAATTGCCACAGTATGTGCATTAAATCATCATTTCTAAACTTTTGATTTATCATTATTTGATAATTTTTTCTGCTCTGTGAAATCACTTCTGTGAATCAGCTTCAATCATGGCCAGCACTGAAGCTTAGGCTGAGGCTAGACACAAAATAAAAGCCCTCTCCAAAATGTTCCTTAACTTCCTGCTGAATTTTCCATATGCTGGGTACTTAAATTTTGTATGCATATCATATTTAAATCATATCAATAGCTAAGTCACTATTTTGAGTAGTCTTTTTATCTAAGTATTCTTCATGAAGACATATGGATACACATGTGTATGTGATTGTGTGGTTACATGAAGGCCATTTCCCAGCATATTTTCCTTCTTGATAATGGAAAAGGCATAACTTTATATAGAGCTTCATCTTAGGACAGTTTCCTCTTCAATTTCCACTTTGAATCTATATATGTTCATATTTATCATAGAAATAATTTTAAGCGATCAGGTAAAGCCTGCAAGACCTACATTTGCACAAAGATAATTTGGAATTTATAGATTTTAATAAGAAAGACATTGAATAAAAAAATAACAGTTTGTATTTCCTCTAACTTAGCAGCCACCACATTGTATTAGGTCTGTCTGTAGAAAATTCTTTTATTGGAAATAAGTATATTGATTTCAAAGTTATATTTTAACTAGATATATAAATATCAATCAAGGTTTACTGATTATATGCTGAGACACATTAGTGATTCCATGGTTGAATCCATAAGGAATCACACAGTCTAAAGCTGATTATCTGAGCCTAGAGAGGGCTCAAAGTATGTTCAAACTCTTTGCTCACTAAACTACATGAGAATTATCTTCAAACACTGATAAGCTGAAATTTTTAGAATAAAGTGTTGAGTGTGGTGGCTCAGGTGGTAAAGAATTTACATACAATGCAGGAGACCTTGGTTCAATTCCTTGGTTGGGAAGATCCCCTGGAAAAGGGAATGGCTACCCACTCCAATATCTTTGCTTGGAGAATTCCATGGACAGAGGAACCTGGAGGACTGCAGTCCATGGGGTCACAAGGAGTCAGACCCCACTGAGTCCTAAATGACTCAATTCATTGGCAGAACATTTTTAAATACTTTGGCCACCTCATTCAAAGAACCACCTCATTGAAGAAGACTCTGAGGCTGGAAAAGATTGAAAGCAAAAGGAGCAAAGGGCAGTAGAGGATAAGATGATTAGCATCACCAACTCAATGGACATGAATTTGAGCAAACTCCAGGAGGTGGTGAAGGACAGGGAAGCCTGGTGTGCTGCAGTCCACAGGGTGGCAAAGAGCTGAACATGGCTTAGCAACTGAATAACAACACTTGTTTTTTTAGACTCAAAGTAGCACAGTACAAAATATGAGACCCAATCCATACTTATAATAGTTATATAATTGCCTCATTTTAGAATTTATATAAAAATAATATTTGGAATGCTTTCCTTAACAAAATTCTGAAATAAATCAACATCAGAATATATAAATCAATACTACAGAATCTCCATTTTGCCTCTATATGAGATTTAATATCAGGGGCTGAGAAAGAATCCATTATCATTATAATGTGTGATTAAAAATGGATGAACCTGGGTGTTTTCCCACAAAATCAGAGGAATACTTCTAATACTCACAACCATGTAGAGGACCTTGGCTTTTAAGTTTGAATAGTTTGCCTCATACACACATTCTCATCTCTCAAGCCTTTATCTGTAAAGTCGCCAAATGAATACTAAAAAAAAAAACTGTGAATAGTTTATCAAAATTATAAATCCAAAAGCCTACTTGACTTCCAAAACCTGGTTTCCCCGGTCCTCTTTGCTTAGGAAAGTCCAAACACCAGTATCCACAGTCGTTCTTCAAAGGTGTACCCTTCCATCAGGGCGAGTATAGTCCGGCATTCACATAACCAGTATGGGTCTCCAGAGGTCGCTCCCCAAAGCCCTTGAGTACCTCTTCCGATTTAACTTTGTACTGGAATGTACACCACTGTGAGATTAAAAACTGATCAAGCAGCATCTGGGAAGCTAAAATGTTGTAAAACACTTAAATTACATTTTATTCCTCAGGCTTCAAACACAAATTGAGAAATACTCAAATTAAATTTACTTACTTCCCATACCTCAAAACTGAAAAAGAATAATAGCACAGGGCAGTTGCGAACAGAGGCAAAATTCAAAATTTTGCAAATGAGTAGAATCAGACAGAAATGTCCTATAACTTTTGAGGACTCTCAATTATAATGACCTAAAGAGCAAAGGAAAACTTGCCCTTAAAATAAATTTTAATTTGAGGACTTCAAAATTCCAATTAATCTGAAATACAGATATATTCAATTTTGCAGAATAGGCTCACTATGTTATAAATTTTTATTTCACAACCAATATCAACAACAGCAAATTGTTATCTAAGCAATTTAGGGGGGAAAGTCTGATAATTCTGAAAAAAAGATCAGATTATTTGGGGAAAATATCAAAAGAATTAAACTTTTATATATTCAGTTAGCAATCACTTCACTGTTGACAGTTTCATTAAATTCTCCCAAGATAATGCATTATTTCATTTACAAAGTATGTAACTATGTAACTATGAACCAATGGAATTAGAAAATTAGTGTCTGCGAGCCTTTACATAACAAACTACTTTGCAATTGGGAAAACATTTTTATAGATGCTATTGATCTTCACATAAACTGTAAGATAGGCAGGAAAGTCTTTGCCATCTCTATTTCCTAGTTTGGGACGCTAAAATTCAGTGACATTAAGAGACATGTCTGAGAATAATAAGTGTGAACCTCCAATTTTTTTGCTACTAGACCTACATATTTTTTGTAAGCCCCAAACATAAAAGGCTAATCAGACAGTGAGAAGGGAGGGGAGTCTGAGCCTCTGTGAGGAATAAAGGCAAGTCAATCAAAAGTCTATGAAGTTTATGTAAATTAGAGGTTATCTTTTCAGACTACATAGTTATCATGTAAGGTACACTTTTTTTTTTTTAATGACTGCCATGTTAAAAGTAAGCAAATTACTCAAGTATAAACCAATTATCAAATTTTTGACAACCAATTTGAGGTACAAGAATGATGAGAATTGTTGATGTAAATGTCCTAAAACAAATGGAAAAGAGAAAGAATAGAGTTCCTCAATGTTTTGTACAGGATAAGTTTTGCAGTTTGCTTTTTTTTTTTTTTAATAAAATCTTTCCCTGACATATCAGATGGTCTGAGTATATCTTAAAACATTCATTCTATCCACTTAAAAAACGGGGTTCTCCTGTTAAAGGGGCACAGGCAGGACAGAGACCATTGTCTCCATGATTCAGAGCAGTGCACAACTGGTGCACAGAAGTTGCATACATCATAGTGCAAGCAGCAAATCCCCATGCTCCATCAATTCCATATGGAGAAAAGAAGTGGGGAGGGCAAAGGAAAATGGTACATACAAGTCCATGATGGAGTGGCCTGGTAGGTTGGAAATGCTTCCTGTCATTTCAAGAAGACAAAGCTAATGAGCTGTGTCACAATAATAAGGTGTGGATCTCAAGTCCACCCGAAAAAGGTTGGGAGAAGGTCATGATTACCTTCACCACCACGTGATTATCAGTGTACCACCCCTAGAAATCAGAGCCATAAGTGATTTGGAAACTTTTTGTTTAGTTTTGATTTTGAAAAGAAATCACAAAATATTGAAACAAATATCATTGTTTGGCTTAATTCAGGTATTCTTCATTAAACAGTACACAGACTTTATTGAGCGATTGAAAATATACACAAGGAACAATAGCTTTTGCTCTGATTTTTTCTTTTTTTTTTTTTAATTTGACTTTCTTCCCTTTAAATAACCCAGTTTCAATCATGAAAAGGGCACTTGTTTCTACAGTAGCTGTGCTCTGCTTGTTCAGGTCCAAGTACTGTTTCCAAGCTTCTTCCTTGCCATTGCTGAGGTTACATCTCCATTTGCTCAGGAAGCAAATTCTAGAAGGTTGCAAGGATTGACCCCCTAAGTTGTTCTTTCAGATTCTATTTCTCCATAGAGTTCAGCTAATTTTTTAAACTCGGGCCCCCAGTCTCCAAGGTACTGATAATCCTGGTCTGATTGAGTAGTTGCTGAATCCAGGGAGCTGATGGATCCAGCTTCTGATCTCTGACCCTCGTAGGCGTAAGTCTGCAGAGAGTCATAAGGAGGGACGCTGGGGTCTAGGTCGGCTTCCGCTAGTCTTTGCTTAATAAATTCCTGAACATCTATACTTTCCAGGGTGGACAATGTCTGGTGCCTGGGGGTAAGTTTCACTTCCGGTCTGATATCTCTGCGGTACTTGAGCTCCTCAGCAGCAGATGGATTCCTCAAGGCGGTGATGTCAAAGGCCTCCGTGTCTTCCTCACCGCCCCCCTCATCATCGTAGGTGACCACATTCTCCCGCACATCCTCCTCTGAAATGATCAGGGGCTCTTTTTTGCTGCGTCTCAGGGTGATGAAAAGTACAACAATCGCTAAGCAAAAACAGAAAGAGGATGAAGAGTTAGAAAAAAGAACATTCTTGGAGAATGGCCATCAGCAATTTCCAACCATTCTCATCAGCTGTGTTTCATTTGGGCTAACATTGTGATCTCTGCACTCTCTGAATACCACCACAAGAATTTTTAATATCCCGAAGAATGTAGAAAATAATTATCCCTACAAAACAATGGGAATCGTTGATCTTCTGGTGAACGCCATGATATTCTCATTTGCCAGGCTATACTTTCAGGATTCCTGACTTATGATTAAGTCTAACCACTCATTGTTTACACTGAGGGGAATAGATGATGGAAAAGCAATATGAAATTCTGACTGGAAAAACAATTGTGTGAGGGTGGGGTCAGTCTATAGCTGTTAATTCATCTAAATATGCATACACTAAAAGCAGGGTATTTTAAGTTTTTGTAAAACAGAAAGAAGGAGCCCCTATCTTTAACCCTTTCTTTTTGATTCTGTGTAGAAATAAAGCAGGAATATTTTACATGGTTCATCTCTTTTGTCCATTATCCTTTAGAATGATATTATCAGGCATTAATTATTGCATTTAAATATTAGATTGCAAAATGTTATTTATATGTTCATATAGAAATATTTCCATTTACACAATGCTCTTTACATAATATTTTTATTTAATGCTCAAAATAGAGCTGGGATTTCCTCATTTTTAAAATGAAAAAGATGAGACTCAGGAAAAAATTACCTGAGTAAATATTGTGTAACTTTAGGTCATACAAATGGTGAGTGGAAAAGCTTGGGCCCTAGTTTATGACTTTTCACACTAAAGGTGATGATGTTTCCATTGCCATATTCAACTTTAGTATTTTAAAAATATAGAACATGAAAAAATACTTCAGTATTTTAAAAATATAGAACTGAGTGACCTGTTGGATGTGTGTCTTAGGGAAATTTTTCCACATAGAGTGAATATTTTCTTATTACCAGTAATGTTGTAGCTACTGGGTAAATTGATAGAAATTCATCTTGGGTATTTTACTTTGGTTGTTCTTTCATTACTTTCAAATTATTCAATTGGATGGTATTAAACCATCACTAAACAGAATTATCTCATTTCTACTTTTTTTCGTTAGGTCCAGTGTCTTTTTCTTCATCTCTACAGACAGTTTTCTTCTTGGTTAGCTGATATTCTACATTTTATTATAACAATTATTAGGTTCACTATTATTTTAAATATCACAATATGATAATCAGAGAAGTATATTCAAATGGAATGCAGGGTTACTAGATTTAACAAATAATTCAGGACACCCAACTAAATGTGAATTTTTGAGATGGGTAACAACAACAAAAATATACTATATGTATAATGTGAGATGAAACAACAAATATACATGTATAATGTATTATATGTGTATACATAAATGCCATATATTGTATAGTGTGTGTATCTATACATATACATATATATGTATATATAATCAATTATGTCCAAAGCAATATGGATATATTTTATGGAAACATTAAAATACATATATAATATGGATTTATCTCACCATTATGCATGGGGCATATTTTTGCTTAAAATTTAAGTATGAAAGTGAAAGTGTTAGGCACTCAGTTGTTTCTGACTGTTTGTGACCCCCATGGACTGTAGCTTGCCAGGCTCCTATGTCCATGGGATTCCTCAGGCAAGAATGTTGGAGTGGGTTGCCATTCCCTTCTCCAGGGAATCTTTCTGACCCAGGGATCAAATCTGGGTCTCCTGCATTGCAGGCAGATTCTTTACTGTCTGAACAATCAAGGGATATATATATATATATATATATATATATATATACACATGTATATATACATATATATCAGTACAACTTTATATATATATATTTATATACATGTATATATATATACATACATATATGTGTATATACATAAGTATGTCTTGTTCAATATATCTGAAGATGTGTAAGTGCATACATATACACACATGCATAAATACCTACAGATCTATAATTTTATACAAATTTCACACTTCTATGCTGTATTTTGTCTATTTATCTACTTATTTATATATGTATATTATATTTTATTTGGAAAGCCTGATTATATGTAAGCTTTAATAAATGATCATAAAGCAAACAAACACCAGGTTAGCTATCCTCTGATAAAGAACATACCTGACACCCTAGAAACAACCCCTTCTATACCTCCCTTCTGCTCGAAAAAGAAACTTCCATTCTTCATTTTGTTATTATTTCCTTGCTTGTCTTCATATAGTTTAACCCCTTTTTATGATAGCCCTAAACTTGATAAGTGTTGCTGCATTTGAACTATATATCATAGTGTGTATATACTTTGAAGTCTTGAAAATATGGACAGGAAAAGGAATAGGTATTCAAGCCAGAAGTGGTTAGAATAATTATGAGAGGTAGGTCTACCATATGTGGAAAGAGAGGGTCACAATACTAGGAGGAATCTAATTTTGCAAAGAGGCAGGTGGAAGACTGTGGGAATAAAGAAAAAAAGAAAAGACAAAACATCTTTATGGAGTGTCAAGGAATCATCTGGGAATGCAAGGAGTAAAAGGATACTGACTAGGTAATGTGAAAATGCAATGTGGAAATTAGAGTTGACATGGTAAAGCTTTGATCACTGTGTTTGGAAGGGAGTGATCACAGAGAAGGATGGAAATGAAATGCTGATTCTACATATGACCCGGATTCATAAATGCTCTGTTACAGAATACAATATGTTTCTATTCACATGACTTATTCTTTTTGCTGAATGCCATCAGTAAGTATTTGATATCTCACTATTTATTTTAGTGTAAATTCAGCCTATAGCTTTTAAACTCAGTAGCCCAAGCAGAATCCTCAAGTGACATACTTCATTCTATCCAGAGGTTTATATTTATCATCCACCATATATTTCTGCTCATCATTATAGTTAAGTGAGGAGGCTGTTCTAAATTAAAATATCTATTGATAGTTCTACACATTGCCTAATTTATTATAATAAAATTTCTTAGTATTTCCAAAAAATCAAGCTATTTTTCTTTACATTGAAATGGTTGATGATGGATGCCAAGGGACTTAATGTGATGTATAACAGGGAGAATGTGATCAATACTATTACCAAATATGGAGGTAATACACACCCCTTACTAATACTAGTATTCTATTTGCCTAATGAAACATATTTGATAATGATGGATTTATTGTCATGATAGCTTCTAGTTGCTTAAAACGCTATCCCTGACTTATAACGGTTGATTCGAAATATAGATGCTAGTTAAATTTGAATGTACAGTTTTACATCTATTTCTTTCTAGGCAAAGAGAGTTGCTTGCCAGTGACAAATGATTCCTAGATTTGTTGCAAACCTATTTATTATAAAGATCAATATATAATTAGCCATACAATCTGGAACACTTTTTAAGGGTGGAAAGGGACTTCACTTATAATTACACCAGAATATCAGGACAAATATGGACATACAGTCCCTTTGAAAGTAAAAGTATGAGTCTCTCAGTCTTGTCTGACTCTTTGTTGACCCCATGAACTGTAGCTTGCAGGCTCCTCTGTCCATGGAATTCTCCAGGCAAGAATACTGCTGTAGGTAGCCACTCCCTTCTCCAGGAGATCTTCCCCACCCAGGGATCGAACTGAGGTCTCCTGAATTACAGGAAGATTCTTTACCACCTGAGCCACACCGTTTTAATTAGCGTGAAACCGTCATGCGTGCGTGCTCAGCCGCTTCAGTCATGTCCAACTCTGTGAGACACTATGAACTATAGCCCACCAGACTCCTCTGTCCATGGGGTTCTCCAGGCAAAAATACTGGAGTGGGCTGCCAAGCCCTCCTGCAGGGGATCTTCCCCACCCAGGGATCTTCCCCACATCTCTTTATGTCTCCTGCATTGGCAGGCGGGTTCTTTAGCACTAGCGCCACTTGGGATAGTCAATGGCAAATTTAAATCAACTCAAAGAAGAATGTGGATACAGAGAAGAATGTGGAAGGTACATTCCTAATGACTTTCTTTACACTCATGTTTGTTTAGTAGATGTTTCTGGAGCAGATGGCACACAGCGGATACTCCATAAACAATTCTTATGTGGATGAACAAAAGAATGACTTTTCTGAGAGTGACAGTGTGACACTGGGTTAATTGAGTCTTCAAGAATAGTAATTGTCTCAATAGGAAAATAATTTTTAAATACTTTAAAACATCAGCTTACTGTTCCTATAAATTCCAAACACGTAATTTTGCTTGAAAGTATTTCTTAAAGTTTGAAAAACAAAGTGCTTCCCCAAAATCACAAGACCAAATTTATTTAAAGATAGTTTATTTAAATTTATTTAAATGTATTTATATATATTTATATTTTTATATTTTATACATATATATAATACATAAATAAATAAATTTTTATTATAAATTTGTTAAATTTATTTAAAGGTAATAATTATACATATATACTTGAAAGTTAAACCCAATTTTAAAACTGGCAGGCAAGTAATATATTTGAATTAGTCCCTCACAGTACATCAAACTATTGATGTATAACAGGGCGGACTTCTTTCAGTGGTTCATCTGAGAAAATATACTATGATAGAGCCATGGAGTTGTTAAAAAAGAGAAAGAGAGATACAGAGCTTGTCCTCTGTTCAAAATTATATTATAAATGATTTCTGGTATTTTGAAATTTAGTTATACAAACAAATGAAATGAACAAACTGTAGTATTTTTAGATGTCTTTATTCTGATGAATATTTTATTCTTGGTTAGTGTATTTATTTTTCTTTTCTTCTCATTAAGTGTGACCAGTATTTTAAACCTACATGATTCATTTCATTTAAGAAAATAAAAATGAATTCACTGTATCATCATTTTATTCATAAAGAGATTCAAATTTGTGGAAACAGTTTTCTCTTTGTTTTCTTCTATATTATATTTACTTACTCATATAATTTTTCCAGTACCCGTAGTACTAAGGGGCTTTGAATTTTCATAACT